GGCACCAGCTCCTAAACTGACCGTTCTTAATGATAACTGGTGCTCATTTTCATCATTATCCACCTTAAAGTGATAATCTTTATCGGCTTTTAGTTCACAACCGAACAGATAGTTTTGGGGCCTCAGGGGGCTCATGTCCATATCCATTGAATCCTCCATGGGGTGATGGTGCGCACTTAGGTGATAGAGAAGAAGGGTGGAGATAACTGGGTTGCTGCTACTGAAAACAGCCACGCAGGACGGAATCGCACCAGGGATCCATTTACTCTTAGATCCCTGATCTTCAGGACAAAGCTCTTATATTCTGCGCCCTGCCTTGAAATTCTGCCTGAAGAGGTAGGGCAGGAACTCCTTACCATACTGGTATTTAACTTTTATTCTTAAACAAATTGCTCTACTCCTCTGTAACTAGAAACATTCTTGAGTTGGTTTCTAGAGAAAATAAAACAAGTGAAACAAAGCCTGTTTTTCCTGTTCAGATCTCTTTCTGCCTAATCTGTATGGTGCCTTTGAAATGGGAATTACTGTGTCTCAGTGGTTGACTGTTTCTACTGGATTAGTGTTGGTTCTGTTTACCTTCCAGATCCACTTGGTAGGTGGCTATAAATAGTTTTAATTGTGTGTTTGGGAAGGGGGCAGAATGGAGAGTGAGGGGGCTGGAGAGAGCACATCAGTTACTACCTTGAAATAGTGTCCTACCACCTGAGATTCAAAAGATAAGACCAGGGTTAAACCGAAATCAAACCCATTCCAACTCATGGTGATAAGAATTATGTAAGAGGTTTTCCATGCTGACTCCTTAATAAAATGTATGGGATTTTTTTGTTAGTTGGATGCCTTGACCTCATCTCCAACTTATTCATTCTCAATAGGGGTGTAGACATCGATAGTTTTCAAAAAAGTTTTCCATGTGACATTACAGTCAGACTTGAGAACCACTGATGGAAAATTTCATGAACCATATCAGTGTGAGGGATCCACACTTGTAACCTGATAAGAGTTTGAAAGAATCAGTTACTTTGAACTTACCTGGGTTTGATTTCTGGCCAATGAACCTTATGTGCAGCCGCCACTTGGCTGTCAGTGATGGCTGTGCTGTGCTATGATTCTGAACAGGTTTCAGGGAAGCTTCTAGACTAAGATAAACTAGGACGAAAGGGCTGTGAAAATTCTGTGCATCACAATCTGCAGTGATTCATGTGGATGACCTAAAACCGGCCTTCCTTCCCGTCTAGTATGCATGGACTCACCATGATTCAAGGGCAGCTAACAATAGCAACAACAAATGATTGTTCCTACCATAACTTTCTTCTATGAATCTAGAATATAAGGAAAGTAACTTTGCTTTTAGGAAAAGACCTAGTATTTAGGGAAATTTTAAATCTGTACTGTTGTTATTGTTGTTAAGTGCTATTGAATCAGTTCTGACCCATTGTGACCCTATATAGCGTTTCGAAGGAACAGCTGTTGAGCTTAAACCGCCAACCTGTGGTTCAAACTGACTTTGCAGTCCAGCACATTGGCCCACAGGCCACACCAGGACTCCTTCTTCTATATTAATTGTTGTTAGTTTGTCAATTGCCATTGAGTTGATTTCAATTCTTAGTGACCCTGTACAGGGTTTCTGAGGAGCAACTGGTGAGTTTGAACCATCGACCTTACAGTTCAATCCGACCTTGCAGTCCTGTGCGTATTCTACATTGCCACACTTAATTGTTGTTAAATGTCGTTGAGTTCGTTCTGACGCATGGTAACTCTGTATATGGTTTCTAAGGAGTGGCTGGTGGGCTTGAACCTCTGATCTTATGGCTAGCAGTCCAGTGCTTATCCTACAGTGCTACATATGGATAAATTCTGAAATAAAGCTATATCAGCAATGTTTTAATTTTTTTTTTTCCTTTTAAATATTCCACTAGGTATTTTGAGCAAGAAAAAGATGGCATCTCCATCTCTTCAATGGCCCATTGCAACCATGTCATTTCTGTTTTCCTCACTGGTGACTTTATTAATTGTGTCAACTCTTTCCTGGTGCCAGAGAATTGAAACTACAGCTCCAAAAGCTAGCAACGGGGCACCATTTCCTTGGAATAAAATGCGACTTCCTGAGCATGTCATCCCAGTTCATTATGATCTCATGATCCATGTAAATCTCACCACTCTGACTTTCTGGGGCACCACAGAGGTAGAAATCACAGTTAGCCAGCCAACCAGTTCCATTGTCTTGCATAGTTACCATCTGCAGATATCTAAGGCGACTCTCAGGAAAGGGGCTGGAGAGCAGCAGTTTGAAGATTCCCTGAGGGTCCTGGAATACTTACCTCATGAACAAATCGCTCTTTTGGCCCCCGAACCCCTCCTTGTTGGGGTACCTTACACAGTTGTCCTTGACTACACTGGCAATCTTTCTGAGAGTTTCCATGGCTTTTATAAAAGCACCTACAGAACCAAGGAAGGAGAAGTCAGGTAATTCTTTTCTGTTTTTCTTTTTAAGTTTCAGTTGCTGCCCCCTCTAAGTTTAATTTTCCAGGTGGAGCATCCTTTAAAACTCCCTCTATTGTTGAACTTTTATTTACTTTTGCACCTTCTTTATAGAGCTGAAAATGGATAGAATTTTTCTTCCTGCCTTTCTTAATTCACATTTATTATAAATTGTAGAATTAAAGTTTATTTGCTTGTAGATTATATTAACTTACTTTTCTGATTCCTTATTATTTTCCATATGCTACCAAAATGAATGGAAAAAAACCAGTAAAATTTATTCCAGTCATAAACCCGGGAACAATCACTACTATTTTACGGAAACATCTTCCCAGACTTTTCTCTCTGGAAATGCATACATATTATTTTATTTAAATGACATTGCAAGATATTCTGATTTTCAGAGGGTTTTTTTGCTTAATATGTTGGGAAGATAGTTCATGTTGATGACTATCGATATGCATCAACATTTTAATGACTTTATTGTAATGTAACTGGGCAGTGTTTCTTTATGTTGTACATAGGGTCGCTATGAGTCAATACTGACTTGATGGCACCTAAGAACAACAACAACAACGAGATAAACATTGAATTGTATTTAAACCCACTAACCGTGCCTTAGTCACTGAGTCTGAATTGACTCTAAGGCAGTGGGTTGGGTACTTCATTCTATATTTTTATTTCACGGGCTACCATTTCAGGGTACTTGCATCAACCCAGTTTGAACCTACTGCAGCTCGAATGGCCTTTCCTTGCTTTGATGAACCTGCCCTGAAAGCAAGTTTCTCTATCAAGATCAGAAGGGAACCAGGACAACTTGCCATCTCCAATATGCCTTTGGTAAGCCTGAAGTCCTGTATTTTCATTCATAAGAAAAATCTGCTGACTTGCTGAGGTTTGTATTACTACAGTAATTCATATCAGGGCCGCCTATTCTGACTGATTTACTGCGGGACAGAGAGTTGCCAATCTTTCTTTTCATTTCCAACCAATACTTTTGTTTCAATCCACAATTTAAGTGAAAGGAAAAGTGTTTCTTTCCTCCCAAAAAGAGGCTGCAGAGGGGAATGAAAATGGAGTCTGAAAGGATCTTTATGGAGGCTGGCAAAGCAAATTGGATCATTAAAGTGTATGGGTGGTGGTAGTGGTGTGCCGTGGAGTCGGTTTCGACTCATAGCGACCCTGTACAGGGTTTCCGAGACGGTAAATCTTGACGGTAGCAGAATGTCTCATCATTCTTCCATGAAACGGCTGGTAGTTTCAAACTTCTGACCTTGATGTTAGCAGCCCACTTCATAACTACTACGTTTTGCTGTTTGCTATAAATAAAATTTTCTGCTAGCTTTATCAATCACAGAAGCAACACTTGTTTACTTGAAAATTTTTTTTTATAAAAAGATATATAAAGGGGAAAAATTTTTACTACTCAACTCAAAGGATGTTGTTGTTGTTGTTAAGTGCCGTCGAGTCGGTTCCGACCCATAGCGACCCTGTACAGGGTTTCCGAGGGTGTAAATCCTTACGGGAGTAGAAAGCCTCATCTTTCTCCCGCGGAGCGGCTGGTAGTTTCGAACCGCTGACCTTAAGGTTCGCAGCCCGATTCGTAACCACTACGCTACCAGAGCTCCTTCAACTCAAAGGATTACATCTGTTAATACTTGAATGTATAGTCCAGTTTTTTCTGTGCATTTAAGTATTTGAATATTTTCAATTTGGCTTTTAATTAGCCTGTAGTGGTTACGAATCGGGCTGCGAACCTTAAGGTCAGCGGTTGGAAACTACCAGCCGCTCCGTGGGAGAAAGATGAGGCTTTCTACTCTCGTAAAGATTTACACCCTCGGAAACGCTGTACAGGGTCGCTGTGGGTCGGAACCGACTCAACAGCACTTAACAACAACAACAACAACGCTAGCAGAGCTCCTTAAGTGTGTGGGTATTAGACAGGAATTAATCATAGTTAAATTTGAATAAATCAATCACATTTAAATTTGGCTTAATCTCTTGTTAAAATTTGTTGACTTTAGCACAATTTCAGGGATAGAAATTTTGGTTGGGAGTGGATTCTTGTAGTTGCCTGCACTTGATTCCAACTCATGGCAACCCCATGTTTGCAAAGGAGAACTTCTCTATAGGATTTTCAAGGCTGTGACCTTTTGGAAGCAGAATACCAAGCTTGTCTTCTGAGGCATCTGTGGGTGGGTCAAACTAACAACCTCATGCCTAATAATCATACCCTTTAACTGTTTGTACCACCTAAGGATTCCTATGGGTTGGGAGAAGACATTTAAAAAGAAGAGATAATTTGGGGTCCTTCAAGAGCAAACCTAGGCTAATCATCAGTCACAGTAGAATGACAAGCAGTTACCATAGCTGGTGAGAATTAAGAAGAGGGAGGAAGACATAGGAAGAGGGGTGGGAATGAGATTACAAGAAAAATGCCTAGTAGCCTGTTTTTGCCAAACTAGGTTTGACTGATTTTATTCCGTGGTAGTTCTACAGTGCTTTGCATCTGTTGAGATATTAGATTTTCTATCCTTTGGGAACAGGCCCCCTAGGCAATTCCTCTGTCACTCCCACCTCACCCTGCAAGGCTACTCCCTGATTGCACTTACAAGCTGATTGCAAAATAAATAAATCAGTTAGGAAGAGACTTTGCAGGGTTAGGCACAGGCATGAGTTGGTTTTAATCTTACAGGACAATAGAAGCCCTTTTTAGGTTCTACAGGGCTCTATATTAGCCCAGTTTATAATACAAACTTGATCTGCATTTGCAGATAATTCTCATACCTATGTCTACGTCTCTAGTCAAGTAGACCACATCTTGGCAAAACAGATCAGCTCAGCTTTGCTTTGTTTTGATTCACATACATAAACTATGAGTCAATTTGTAATTATCTAGAATACTTAAAAGAAATTGAACAGTGATGGTTGTACAACTTTGTGAATATACTAAAAACCACTGAATTGTATACTTTAAAGCAGTGTGTTTTATAGTGTATGAATTATATCTCAAATAAATTGAATAATTTGATTTTAATAGCAGCCATAGATACTGAAAAGAGAAAAATTTCAAATGATTTTATAAATATCGTGCCATATACTTGCAATGCATGTCTGATAGTTAGGAAATTTCTCTTTATAAAGTGTTCTCAATCAATTATTTGATATTTTGAGTTTTTCTAATTTCAGGTGAAATCTGTGACAATTGCTGAAGGACTCATAGAAGACCATTTTGATGTCACTGTGAAGATGAGTACCTACCTGGTGGCCTTCATTGTTTCAGATTTTAAGTCCATCAGCAAGATGACCAAGAGCGGAGTCAAGGTGAACTTGTGATTGTCACATAGATTGACCAATTTGTCTTGATTTTAAAACTGAAAAGTATCCCTTCCTGGCAACCCCTTCAGTCTTGGTCAAAGTGGGATGGATGGTCACCTTACTGTCACTGAGACTCTTGTTTTACCCTGCTGTTCTCTAACAGAACCCTGGCCTCAGCTGGATCAGAGGCATGGCTCCACTACTAACCAGCCTACCCTCTGACTGTGGGTCTGCTCCCTCTGAGCTTAGTTTACACTTCTGTAAAATTTAGAAGTTTGAGTAGACCTTGTAGTGGTTCTGAGGTTCTTTCTGGCTATAGTGTTCTTCAGTTTGGAAGTGAATGTCACTAACTACCTGAACAGGAGATTTCTGGCTGTGGGAATGAAGCCAAACAGTAATCCACTGTCATTTTGTTTTGGCCTCTAAATTACCTTCTTTTTATTTTTGCCGCCTCATGAAAAGATTTTAGAAAACATTTTCTGTACATATTATCAAGCACTTGCTTGGATGTGTTTAGGCCTCGAAGTCTTTCTTTTTGCAATTCATGTAAATATTTTAGAAGATATTTTCTGTATATGTTATCAAGCAGTTGTAATTGTTTTCAGAAGAATCATTGCTCTGTTTCCATGAGGATTGGTACAGGAAATGGAGCTCTGGATGTACTTTTTAATATTTGTAAACCTGTCCCTCTGTCTAATGCTGGGAATGTCTTCTCATAGCTGCTATGGTATTTAAATATCTCTTTTGTTTCTCTCTTCAGGTTTCTGTATATGCAGTGCCAGACAAGATCAATCAAGCTGATTATGCACTGGATGCTGCAGTGACTCTTCTAGAATTTTATGAGGATTATTTCAACATTCCATATCCTTTACCTAAACAAGGTAGAGATTTTGCCCAGATCCTAGAAGTTGTGGTACTTCATGACGTGAATTATAGATTATCTCCTCAGAATTGGCATCTCCATGGTTAATTGTAGCAGCCTTCCAAGTCTTCAAAACTTCAGCAAATGACACACATCAAGTCTATTCTCTGAGGATCTCCTCACTGCAATCAATGCAATGAACTTCCATAGACAGTAAAAGCAGATAGTAAAACAAGCTCCTGAGGCACATGGCATGGGGGCAATTTTGCTTTCTGACTTGAAAGATAAACCCTGCGAGATTAGTGGGGACTTTTAGGAACAGAGGGCAAAAGATGCATTATTTTTTCGTTATTGACACATGCTTGGTAGGAATATAGAGGGTGCTCAACATAATTTGTTGAATGAAAAATATATTAAGATTACAGAATCTGCATTTCCTTTCTTACACAAGCCCTTAAAATGATTATATTTGGGTTTTTAGGTGTATGTGGGTCTGCAGCATACAAAACAGATAAATTGTTGAGGCATTTGTTAAGATTATTCAGTTTTTAAACTCCTTGCCTGAAAGTTAGAAACAGTCAGTAAGGATACCTGCAACCCAAGTCTGGCTTCATCTCACAGCAGCAAAGTGACTGAATGAGCCATGGAGGTCTTTTTCTCCATCATCTAAGGGGAGCTTTGGTTCTTCCAGTCTAGAATTCCATGATTATACAGTGGCACCTTGGAGTCCTGGTGTGGCGCTGTGGGTTAATGTGCCAGACTGCAAAGCTGTTTGAACTGCAAGGTTGGTGGTTCAAGCTCACCAGATGCTCCTCGGAAACCCTATACAGGGTTGCTAAGGGTTGGAATGTACTCAACAGCACTTAACAACAACAACAACAACAGTGGCAGCTTTGCTTTTCTCTTAGTCCTCAGCCCATCCATTCTGAGTTTGGTAATGTAATTTTGTTCTTCTTTTCCAAGATCTTGCTGCTATTCCTGACTTTCAGTCTGGTGCTATGGAAAACTGGGGATTGACAACGTATAGAGAGTCAGCTTTATTGTTTGATGTGGAAAAGTCTTCTGCATCAAGTAAGCTTGGCATCACAATGACTGTGTCCCACGAACTTGCCCACCAGGTATAGATACTCAATCGTACTTTTTAAAAATGGGTTTTGAAACTGCATTTCTACAGGCAGCCCAAGTTACAAATGTCAGACTTACAGATAACTCCAAATGGCTCTTTAACATTACATAAATTTACCCTCATTTAGAAATGCTTGAACTAGCACTTAGAAGAAATTCTTTATCACAATCACCTTCGGTTGCTACATGTGCAGCTTTAAAATTATTGAAAAGGGTGTTTTTTTTGTTTTTTTGTTTTTTGCAGTAGAGAAAGGCTAAATAAGAATAGTATGCCCTTGTTCTGACTCACCTACAAATTCCACTTATAGACACAGTTAGAAGCAGATCTCATTCATAACCAGGGGGCTGCCTGTAGTCCTTTTATGGAACATGTGAGGATTTTCAGGCACTGTATTAATCATTTTTATTTTGTTGTTTTTCTCATAGGAAAAATTATTCCTTTAATAAATTTAGGTTTCATGTTTTATGATGTATATTGTTAAGTGCTCTCAAGTCAGTTCCGACTCATAGTGACCCTGTATATAAGGTTTCTGAGGAGCGACTGGTGAGTTCGAACCACCAACCCTGCGGTTCAAACTGACTTTTTGGTCCAGCGCATTATCTCACAGGCCATACCAGGAGTCCCTTATAATGTACATTAAAGGACTTTTCTTTGAACTTTAACAAAACAGTACTGTAAATATATGTTGGCACTGTAGGATCAGCACTGGATTGCAAACCACAGGTTCAACAGTTCAAACCCACTAGCTGCTCCTTGGAAACCCTCTATGGGTTGCTATGGATCAGACCCTACTTGATAGCACTTAACAACAACAACAACATAAATATATATTGGCTTTCATAAATTTGACAGTAGACATCTAAAACATACTTCCCTCTGAAGACCTTACGTTTATGACTATGTAGACAGTCTAGTCTCCATAGACTTGCATGAGTAATGAGAGTAATGTTTTCCTTTCAGTGGTTTGGGAACCTGGTCACCATGGAATGGTGGAATGATCTTTGGCTGAATGAAGGATTTGCCAAGTTTATGGAATATGTGTCTGTCAGGGTGACCCATCCAGAGTTGAAAGTTGTAAGAAATCTTTAATTTATTTACAGTTAAAGCTAATCTGTTGTTTTATTCAATGTTACCAGAAAATACGTACTAAGTTTTTATTTTAGAGTTAATGTTGTTGTTGTTGTTGTTGTTGTTGCAGTTGCTGCTCTTAAGTGCTGTAAAGTCAGTTCCAACTCATAGCAACGCTGTATAGGGCTTCCAAAGAGCAGCTGGTGGGTTTGAACAGGTGTCCTTGTGGTTCACAGTCCAGTGCTAATCCTACAGTACCACATCAGGAGTCCTGGTTGTTATTAAGTGCCATCAGGCTGGTTCCATTTATAGTAACCTTGTAGAGGGCTTCTGAGGCTGTAATTCTTTGTAGAAGCAGATAGCCTGGTCTTTCTTCCACAGACAGTTCATGGTGGTGGTGGTTGTGTGCCATTGAGTTGGTTCTGACTCATAGCAAGCTGCATAGGGATTCTGAGGCTGTAAATCTTTATGGAAGCAGCAAGCCTCATCTTTCTTCTATACAGAGTTGCTATGAATCAGAACGAACTCAGTCAGAACTGACTAGACGGCACATAACAACAGCAACATGAACTGTATAAGGAGCCTCCGTAACATGGTAGATGATGAGCTGAGCTTGTAACCACAGACTGGTAGATTTGAACTGTGGTTACAAGTTCAGCTCATAATCTACCATGCTACCAAGGCTCCTTATACAGTTCATGTTGCTGTTGTTAAGTGCCGTCTAGTCAGTTCTGTCTGAGTTGTTTCTTATTCATAGCAACTCTGTATAGGGTTTCCAAATAACGGCAGGTTAACTTGAACTGCCAACCTTGTGGTTCAAATGACTTTGCAGTCCAGCGCATTAACCCACAGCACCACACCAGAACTCTGGTACAAGGAAGTTTAGATATGTTTCAAAAATGATAGTGAGTTTTTGAAATTTATTATAAAGATTTATTTCAGACTGGTTGTGCTTCTACAATTGTTTTATAAAATTAAATCTTAAGTTTTGTCCTTCGTTAAAATAGAAGAATAGCCTGCTTGTTCTGTATCATTTCCTCAACCTATGGACTGACTGCTCATTGCTTAAATATTAGGTACAGATCACTATTATTTCAGTAGGATATTGTTAAATCAAATGGATGATGTTTAAATTGACTGCAAATTTGACTGCATATGAACCTAGACGCCGTTACAAAATTTAGTGTTTTGAATTGCTATTGTTGCTTGTAAAACTCAATTGTAAAAATCACAGATAGCAAAACTAAAAGGACTGAATTTATGTGAAAAGACAATCCATCCCCCCTACTTCAAGACTTATTTTCATATACTCATTTCCTGTTTCCATCTTCCTGTACACGTAAGTTAGTTATATATCACTTTAACTATAACATTCACATTATCCTTATAGTACAGTGGATCATAAATATTTTCCTACGTCTCCATATAATCTTCAACAATAAAAATAATCATGGACATGGATTATTCTCTTGCATTGATGTGCTCAAATAAATCTGTCAGTGGCTGGGATTGGTTTCTCTCTATTTTTTTCTTCGTTCATTATGTTGGTATTAAAGCTAAATTTATTTGCTTAAGAATAATATAAATAAAGATAGGAAATCTTGAAATACCTTGCTGTTTGGACTATTTGGGTATACATGTAATGGTTTTATTTTTAAGTCGTAGGAATTTTTATTCTAAAAATGGTAACTATTGCAGATGAACCAAATGTAAAATGTTTCCCTAAAATCATTGTTTCTTGCTCTTTAGAAAATAGTAATTCTATTTTACTTCATTATCTTTAGAAATATGCAACCAGTTGGTCCAGAAATTTAATGTATAAATGTGTGATCAAGAATCAACCTTCCTTCTTTCATATTTTTGGTCTAGAGCATAAATGGTGCTTTCATTTCTTTTCTATTTTCAAACTCAATAGGAAGATCATTTCTTGGACAAATGTTTTAGCGCAATGGAAGTAGATGCATTGAATTCCTCACACCCTGTGTCCACACCTGTGGAAAATCCTGCTCAGATTCGGGAGATGTTTGATGATGTTTCTTATGAAAAGGTATAAAGAGATGATGTGCACAGTTTGGACATCAGAGTTACAAATACTGGGGTGGAGAAGTTATATGCTGTGGGTAGCTTTTCCTACGTAGGAACAACCAAAATTGAATGCCTTCTATTCTAACTCATGCAAACTAGATTTAATTATTTGGAGCCTAATTTGCTATTCAGCTTATAATTATAAAGGTTGTATTATGTTCATTATGATATATTATTCATTAACTCTATCCTAAATAGGTAATGCAGGTAATAGTCATACCCTAAAGCAGTTGTTCCTTTTATTCATTAATCAGCAAATAGCTATTGAGCGTCAACTATGTCCCAGATAATAATTGCTGCCCTGTTTTGTTTTCCCCTCAGTGCTTCAGACTGGTCTATATGTTGAACTGCACAGTGTGTTTAATAACAGAGTTGGAAATTGTTGCCAACGTGTAGTAATTGGGAACTTTTATGCAAAAGTCCAGATTTCTTGTTTCTCTTAAAAACAAAAGGAGAGAATTTTGGCCCTGGGCCTGAATTTTTCTTGGTGACATTGGGCAGAGCTCTGCTGTGACTCCTTCTTTATAAAGATCAGTGGTCTGTTCTTCTTCCAGAACCCTCCCATTCTCGACTGTTTCTGTTGTCTTCCACTCATTGAGGCTGAGAATTGTTTCCACTGATCATTCTGCTTGCTTGTTATTTTTCTAGTAGCAAACAGAAAGTTAACTATTTTTACTCTCCTGTTTCCGTTAAAAGTACGGGGGTAGGGGTGCGGGGGAAGTGCAAAAGAGTGTTTCCTTACACTTGAACTATTTCCCTTGTTTACATCACCTGTCTAGTTTCTGCTGGCACTTGAATTTGTGACTCTTGGTCTACAGCAGGGGTGGGGAACATCCAGCCCTTGAGCTGTATGGTTGTGGTGGTGTGCCGTGGAGTCGGTTCCGAATCATAGTGACTCTGTATAGGACTTCTGAGGCTGTAAATTTTTACAGAAGCAGAACGCCTCATCTTTTTCCTGCGGAACACCTGGTAGTTTTGAACTGCCGATCTTGAGATTAGCAGCCTGACTCGTAACCACGACACTTTTATGCAAAGCTCCTTTAGAGTTGTATTGTTGCTGTTATGTGCCGTCGAGTCGGTTCCGACTCATAGGGACCCTGCACAGGGTTTCCGAGGCTGGTAATCTTTATGGGAGCAGAAAGCCTCTTCTTTCTCCCGCTGAGCAGCTGGTAGTTCTGAACTGCTGACCTTGCGGTTCGCAGCCCAATTCGTAACCACTACGCTACCAGAGCTGTATAAGGCCCATGAAATCATTTGTTCTCGGCCTGCTAAGGCAACCACAGTTCCAGCCATCTCGTTAGGGGTGATTTAATTAAATGTTTAACCAAATATTGTTATTGTTGTTGTTAAGTGCTGTTGAGTCAGTTCCAACTCATAGAGTTTCCGAGGAGCGGCTGATGAGCTTGAAACAACAATCTTACCATTCAAACCTACCTTGCAGTCCAAAGCACTAACTCACAGCACCACACCAGATATAGCAGGCTAATTTTTCAGTTGATAATTTTGTATGGCCTATGAATGATGTTATAAATTTTCGAAGAAAAAAGGTTCCCCATCCCTGGTCTAGGCAGATCCAAAGATTGTTACATATGTTACTATAGTTGCATTATGAAATAATTGTTCTTAAAGCGGGAAGGTAGATTGAATTGTGACCAAATATAGGTAACAGTTACCTCATACTATCTTTTCAGGGAGCTTGTATTTTGAATATGGTAAGAGAATATCTTGGTGCTGAAGCATTTAAAAATGGCATTGTACAATATCTACAGAAGTATAGCTATAAAAACACAAAAAATGAGGACCTGTGGAATAGTATTGCAAGTGTGAGTATGATTATTTTTAACTTTTTATTGTGAATTGAGTGAAAGATTACAGAGCAGATTAGTTGTTCATTCAACAATTCATACACATTTTTTGTTTCATGTAGTTGATTACAATCCCCACAGTGTAACTTCACGTATCCCACTTCCTGTGTTTCCTGGTTTTGGTCTTCTTTCCTAACCCTTCTGAACTTTGCCCTTGCATAAATGCTATTCCCCAGGCCCACCAACTCATTCCCTCAAGTTTAGTTATACCGAAGAAATTTTAACAACTATGTCTCCTGTTTGCTCCACCACATTCATGGCTATATGTTCAGCAAAGATAAATGCACATACACAAATTGTTGTTGTTGTTAAGTGCCGTCGAGTCGGTTCCGACCCATAGCGACCACAGGGTTTCCGAGGGTGTAAATCTTTACGGGAGTAGAAAGCCTCATCTTTCTCCCGCGGAGCAGCTGATAGTTTCGAACCGCTGACCTTAAGGTTCGCAGTCCGATTCGTAACCACTATGCAACCAGAGCTCCATACATACACAAATATCCCCTGCTAAATCTATATATATTCATGGATGTACTTTCATTCTCCTTCCCACATCCATTCAGCCTGTGTATCTGTCTATACATGAATCTACTTGTAGACTCCCTCTCTCCATCTTTATTGTACAATTGTGTATATAGTGTTATTTGTGAATATGCTTTTATGTGTCATTACTAGTGGAATGATAGGCTTAGTTTCATGAATGTTTGTCCATCATACTTGTATTTATTTTTTCATCATACTTACTCTTCTAAGAAGAATTATGAGTGTTTTCTATGAAGATGAGAATAATGTGTTTATTTTTTGTTCTTAGATTTGTCCTACAGATGATACACAAGGAGTGAATGGCTTTTGTCCTAGAGATCAGCATTCGTCTTCATCCTCAGTAAGTCTCTGTAATCTGTACTTGTTAACCCTCAGCACATACTTTACGTGCTGTTCTTTGAAGGACAGCTGTGTGTTCATCTTTCTGAGGTCCATGATTAATTATAGCACTCTATTTCCAGAGGTGATTGCATTTAAACTATAGCAAGGTTACAGCCTTTTGCATTTTTCTTAAAAATTAGCTATAGAAATGGGTTGCACAACTCTTTTGGTAACACTTCTCAGTGTTACTAATTTCTTCAGCTTCATTCTCTGTAAAGCAGTTACTTTATAACATGATTGTATGGTAGATTGGAGTCCTGGGCACAATTGGATAAGAACTGGATTGCTAACTGCACGGTTGGTAGTTCAAACCCACCATGCACTCATTGGAAATCCCATACCAGGGTCTCTAGGAGTTGGAACCGACTCAACAGAACTTAACAACCACAACAACATGGTAGATTTGGCCTGCATTCTATCAGTCAGTAGATGTATCAGTCATTGTCAGAGCTCTGCATCTGTGGGGAAAAACCCTACAGAATAGTAGTAGTGAACAATTTTGAGCTCTTACGACAAGTGAGGCCTATGCCAAGCACTTAGGTATATTATCTCCTTTACATTTTACAGTAAACCCATGAGTGATATGCGTAAGCTATTAGTATCCTCATTTTAAATTCACACAGTTAGTGAAATGTGGAATAGGGACTTGAACTTAGACCTATATAGACAAAAAGAAACTCACAATCTTAACTGATAAGCTATAAAGTATTCATAACATCCGAGTCTTATAACACCATCAGAACCTCTTGTTTGTTTTATCTGGACTTGTGGAATAGACCGCTAGGGTGATTCTAGAGATTCAACAGAATATTATCTACCATATTTTTAATTCCTTGGATATTTTGTAGTTTTGATATTGCTTTATTCAGTGGTTTCTAGTTATTTTTGGAGCCTGCTTTACTCTTTTGTTGTTGATGTTGTTGTTACTGTTGAGTCTTGCGCATTTGCAGTTATACACAGCAGAATGAAACACTGCCTGGTCCTGTGCCATCCTCACACTTGTTTTTACGTTTGAGATCCTAGTTGTAGTCACTGTGTGAGTCCATCTCGTTAGGCTCTTCCTTTATTTTTCTGACACTCTGCTTTACCCAGCATAATGGTCTTTTCCAGGGACTGGTCCCTCCTAACTACATGTTCACAATAAGTGAGATGAAGTCTTGCTATCCTTGCTTAAGAAGCTTTCTGACTGCACTTCTGAGACAGATTGGTTTGTCCTTAAGGTAGTCCATTGGAGTCCTGGTGTGGTGCTGTAGGATAAGCTCTAGACTGCTAACTGCAAGGTTGGCGCTTCAAACCTGCTAGTTGCTGCTTGAAAACCCTGTGCAGAGATGCCGTGAGTTGGAACCAACTAGATGTCCCCTAACCACAACATGGTAGTCCATGGTAGTTTCAGTATTCTTCACCAACACCATAATTCAGATGCATTGATTCTTGTCAGGTTTTCATAAAAAATGAGTACCCAGTATTCACATGCATATGAGGTGATTGAAAAGTACCATCTTGGGCCAGGTGCACCTTAGTCCTTAAAGTAGCATCTTTGTTTTTTAACACTCTAAAGAGGTCTTTTGCAGCAGATCTGCCCAATACAATATGTCACTTGATTTCTTGACTGCTGCTTTCTGAAGTATTGATTGTGGATCCAAGTAAATTGAAATCCTTGATAACTTCCATCTTTTCTCCATTTATCCTGATGTTTTTTGTTGGTCCATTTGCAAGGATTTTTTTTTTTTTTCCATTGAGTTGTAATCCTTACTGAAGGCTGATTTCTTTGATCTTCATCAGCAAGTACTTTAAATCTTCTTCGCTTTCAGCAAGCAAGATTGTGTCGTCTGCATATAGCAAGTTGTTAATGAGCCTTCCTCTCAACATGATAGCAAATTCTTCATATAATCCAACTTCTTGGAGTATTTACTCAGCATACAGATTAAATAAAGCTTGGTGAAAGGATATAATCCTGATACACACCTTTCCTTATACATATATCCTACTTCCTCCTGTGTTTTCTGTTTCCATTCCTCCTTTCTCAACACTTCTGAACTTTGTCCTCTTGATCTTGAATGGTGTGCATACCTCACTACTGGTATTATTCCCCTTATAGACCTGTCTGTTGTTTGGTTAAAAATTGAGCAATGGGGTGAGTTCCGTTCAGCACCTAAAGGGTGATGAAAGACGATAGTTCCACTAGTCTCTATTTGACCAGTAAGCTTTTTTATGATTTTGAGTTTTATTTCACATTTTCTTCCACTCTCTCTAGGACCTTCTAATGTGGTTCCTTTCAGAGCAGTTGCTACAAGACTGGAACATCATCTAGTTCTTCTGGTCTCAGGTTGTGGAGACTGATGTTCACGTGACCCATTAATCCTAGAAGCACAGATTCTTAACTGAACATTTTCTTCCACCTTGCTTGTCTGAAAGAAAATGTAGTTTTGTAGGTGTTGAAACCCTAACCATTTTTTCTGTTTTGATTCGTTCATTCATTCATTCACATGACTGCCTTGTTCCCGAAGCTATGACATTAAACATTACCTGCTCTCAAGGTATGCACTTTTTCTTCCACCTTGCTTGTCTGAAAGAAAATGTAGTTTTGTAGGTGTTGAAGCCCTAACCATTTTTTCTGCTTGGATTCGTTCATTCATTCATTCATTCATTCACATGACTGCCTTGTTCCCGAAGCTATGACATTAAACATTACCTGCTTTCAAGACATGCACACACAGTGGAGGAGAGTGAGGAGTAACCAGAACAGTGGGTGCTCTAGAAGTACTGTGGCCGGGGCAGTGGGGGATAGAGCAGGGCTGGGAAGTGGGTGGGGAGAACGGGAAGGGCTCAGGTGGAGCCTCACAGAAGAGTCTGTCAGATGGTAGCAGCCCTGAAAGCACAAGCTGGAGTTCTTGTCTTTCTCTTGTTGGTTCTAAATGGATGATGTATCTGTCCTTTTGTGTGTGAACCAGCACTGGCGTCGGGAAGGCCTTGATGTGAAAACCATGATGAACACCTGGACGCTGCAGAAGGGCTTTCCGCTGATAACCATCACAGTGCGAGGGAGGGAGGTACACATGAAGCAAGAGCACTACATGAAGGGAGCTGACGGTGCCCCAGAAACTGGGTAATGTTGACAGAGTCAGATTCATTTTGTGGTCTCAGTAACATCTGCCATGAAGACTGAAACGTTATTATTTTTTTTTTCATGTTTTTATTGTGAATTGAGTGATAGTTTACATGGGAGGGCATCAGGTTTGCACTCATCCTATCGTATTTTGTTTCATTGCACTGATTACAGTCCCCTCCATGCATCATCATTCAACAGTATTTGCTTCTATACCCTGTTTATTTATTTATTTATTGGATGTGCACCAAAACACTCAGGAATATACAATCATTCAAACACCCAAAAGGGCATACCCTGCAAGCCTGCCTTCAGGATGCCAGCACACAGCTCCTCTCCCTCCATGAGTCTAGAGTCTCCAGCTGTTCCATCTCTCCATGTCATCGTCTCTGCCTCCATCTCAGGCATTGCTGCTTCTCTGAATAGGGTCCCACACTCTGCTCCCGGTCTTCTCCCTTGATGGTCCCAGGGTCCGGCACTCCTGGACTGCAAGATCAACCACTCCCCCCTTTTTACTACAAAACCTCTACCTTTACAGTTGCAACAATCGCAGTCAGTCATGATCACAATTACTCGCTATTGAACCACAAGAGTCTTATCCCCATCTCTTCATCAGCCCCGTCTAGACAGGATGAAAACCACTCAGTGGAGAGTCTACCTTCCCCTGCACTCTCTGAAACTAAACTCCCTCTTGAAAACTTGTAAGCCAGTCATTTTGTACCTTTATAGTACCCCCCCCCCCCCATTTTAGGTAGCCAATGTCTAAGTTACCCATCCCTGTCAACCCTGTGTACAGAGGTGGTGGGAATGATCCTTGCAGTAAAGAGTCCTTCCCTCTTGGTTGGTATTTTAAGCTACTACATCCATAAATATAGGTCACGTTCATCAAATTGTAGCAAATTACACTTGTGAAATTTTCTTTTTGAAATAATGTCCTTACCTTGATCATTAAATTATGTCAGTTGAAGCTACATATCTTTTGAAGTTAACATATGTACCTCCAACTTTCTTAAAGATTTAAGATGGATTTAAACTTCTTTGGTAAAGCTGATTATGTATAATTATCTTTAACATTTCCATGCTTTCTGGTTTGATAGGATGTGTAATTTTTAGGACATTAGTCTAAAATTGGATTCAATCTGAGAAATTGCCACTAAATTAATAGCGATTGGCATTTGGGTTGGAGTTAAGGGAGATGAGTTCACTTCTTTGAAACCTGTTTGTCAGCTTAACATTGCAGAAAGACAACATACAGAAGGATACAAGATGCTGCAATTTTTGATTGACCCTGAATTGACTGTTTTTTTCAAAAAAAAACTTTTGAATTAATTTCAAACTTCCAGAGAAGCAAGAATATTATAAATAATTTTCTTATATTATTTACCTGGATATATGTTAACTGTTAACCACATTTGTTTTATTATTCTCTCTCTTTATTTATATATGAATATGTCACATTTTACCTCTGGATGATTTCAAGTAAATTGGAGACATGATGCCCCTTTATACCCCTAATTTTTCATATGTTATTTTGTAAAAATCAAGAACATTCAGCCATATTACCACAGTACGATTATGAAAATTAGTAAATTGACTTGATACAGTAATGCCTATTTGTAACCTTTATTCAGTTTTTCCCACTTCTCCTACTAGTATCTTTATTATTGGTGTTGTTGTGTGATGTCAAGTCACTTGTGACTCACAGTGACCCTGTATAGGGTTTTTGAGGAACAGCCAGTGGGTTTGAACTATCAGCCTTGTGATTAGCAGCCCAGTGTTTGTTCTACAGAGTCACACTAGGACTTTGATACTTTTATGATGGTGGTGGTAGTGTATTGTGGAATCAGTTTCAACTCCAAGCGACCCTGTGTAGCGTTTCCGAGGCTGTCAATCTTTTGAGGAGCAGAAAGCCTCATCTTTCTCCTGCAGAACGGCTGGTAGTTTCAAACTGCTGACCTTGTCAGGTTAGCAGCCCGACTCATAACCACTATGCTACCAGAGCTCCTTGATATCTTTATAGTAAAAGAAAACAAAAAAATCTGGTTTAGGATTCAGTACAGAATCACATATTCTATTTAGCTGGCATTTTTCCTTTTTCCTGAAGCAGTTCCTTCACTTTTCTTTGTGTTCTTGCCCTTAACATTTTTTAGGGTACAGTTATTTTATAGAATGACCTTCAGCTTGGGTTTTCAGGTGGTCCTTCATGATCTGATTCAGGTTACTCATTGTTGGCAGCAATTCCACAGAAGTGATGTGTCCTTTTCAGTGTGTGGCTTCAGGAGATACTTGATGTCAATTTGTACTATAGCTGGTGGTTACTATTTTAAGTTAGGCCTCTGAGCTCCAGTCAGCTATTCACTGAAGTGGCTTTAGAGCTCACTTGAGTCATGTCCTAGGTTTACTTAAGGATCTCAAATGAATGAACAGTGCTTGAGATATTACCACTTATAAAGCGGCAAGACTTGGGTGTAGCAGTTTTGGTACCAACTGGTCCTAAATTAGCCCACACTTGTCACATCATAGGTGATTTAATTACCATTTGCTGAATTTATTCCACAAATGAACAATCCAGTTCCTCCTTTCTTTTAGACAACTGTGGCATGTTCCATTGACGTTCATTACCAGCAAATCAGACGTGGTCCAAAGATTTTTGCTGAGGACAAAAACAGGTAATTTATTGTGGAACTAGCTAGTCTAATTCAAGACAAAACTGTAGGGGGAGGGCGCAGGAAGTGTTTCTTTTGCTATTTATTTGGTTCAGATCAAAAGGAGGTCAATTTTTAATCTTAAGCCTATTTTTGGTTTTAAATTTCTGTGGAATAAAATGAGGTTGAAAATATTGTCTGCTTGCTAAATAAAGATTAGTTAGTTGAGATGTATAATGATACAAAGGACAGATAGATTTCTACTGAAAATTCCCCATTACTTCCTAACATTTCTGACTTGTATGGCCTGAGACATGGCTACATTCTTTTCCTAGATCTACACAGCTCACCAGCCATTCCATGGAAAGCCTATACAGGGTTGCTATGGGTTGGAAACAACTCGCTAGCACTTAACAACAATAACAAACATATCTCACAAAATTGGCATCTGAAGACCGTGCTGGGTTTTGTGCATGGGTTGCTGTTTTCTGGTTTCTAGAAGAAATAATGAATACTTTTAAATTGTTCAGTGTTAAAACTCTTCATTAGTTTTCTCGTGCAGTCCTTGCATCAGAAAAGCTTTTATCAGTCAAGAGAGAAAATGGGGCTGTGATTTATTTTATTTGCTATAGATGCACTTATGCTCCCAGAAGAGGTGGAATGGATCAAATTTAATGTGGAAATGAATGGCTATTACATCGTGCATTACGAGAACGATGGATGGAATTCTTTGACTGGCTTGTTGAAAGGAACACACACAGCCATCAGCAGTAACGATCGGGCCAGTCTCATTAACAATGCATTTCAGCTTGTCAGGTAATACAGGCTGCACAGAATCTTGGTATATATCTGAAAGCAGCTGTTATTATTCCAAATTTTTTATTTCTAAAGATTAAAACGATTGATTGATGGATCGTTAATAAGAAGTCAAAGGATGTTTACCTCTAAGCTCTTAATACTTACGGTTAACCTCCTATCTGTGAATGCTAAGTAATTTGAAGGACAGAATCTGTATTTTAATCTTTATCATTACCAACTCGGATCAGACGGAAGAACAAGTATAGAACACCAAGAGACCAGCATCTTAGTGAATCACTGTGGCTCTTTCCTACCTGCTTGCCCTTGTCCTCCATGCTTTTTCTGGTCCTGTTAGAATAGACCAGGTTTCTCCCCTGCTTGGGCCTTTAATAGTCTTGAAGATGTCATAGAATAAATGGTGCAGGTCCAACTTGTTTGCATGTGTCTTTTGGATTAAAGAGAGATTTTCCTGCCCCCTAAACCTGAACTTCATAGCACCTTTATGGAAAGCAGCTCATAAAATTTGACTGAACTGAATGACCTTCAAGTACTTGAGGTTAAAGTGAACACTCTTTTTTTTTGGCCCCATGACAATGGTTCTTAAAGAAATGGGCCCCAAGTCTAAAACTTAACTTCTTCAATATTTAGGTACAGCTGAAGTCCTAAGGGGACCCATCCAGGTAGAAAGAGAAGCTTTAAAATAGTCTCTTCACACCCAATATCTCTATGCCTGCATATTGAGTTCTTCCTTCTGGTCTTGTACCTTACCACCACACTGGGCCTCCCGAGGTAACAAAGCAGAAGGCTTGCTAATTTAGCTGTTTCTTCTTACCTGAAAATACTTTGCTCCATAACATATTTTTACTTAAGTCTTAGAGGTCTTGTGTTTACTTATATAAGCCTACCATTACACTAAGGCTTCGTAATAACTCTCTACTGTCAGTTTCTTGTTGAAATGGAGAAGAGGACAGGTATGCTTACTCTAGGGACTCAGTCTTTTCACAGAGTACCAGTTTCCCTAGCCAGGCTTCCTGAAGGATCTTGGATCAAAATACAGTTCTTATTCTGTAAGTTCAATGCACAGTTCAGTGTTTCACAGAGGGACACGTACTGACAGGCTTCCATTTTGCTGTAACAATTCATATGTGAAAATGTTGTGTTCTGTGTAACAGAAGAGCTACCAATATACAAATCATTGCTTATGAGGGCCTTTTGTATTTGATTGAATGTTTTGATGGATGATGGTTAAGATACCTTTTGAAGCAAAAAGTTGATTTTCTAGATTTTTAAAACATTTGTTATCATGCTATCTCTTGGTCAGCATTGGAAAGCTACCCATTGAAAAAGCCATGGATTTAGCTCTGTACTTGAAACATGAAACAGAAATTATGCCTGTGTTCCAAGGTATGCATGAGCTGATTCCTATGTATAAGTTAATGGAGAAACGAGATATGAGTGAAGTAGAAACTCAATTCAAGGTAAGAGCCTGAAATAAAGTGAACTAATTATTTAACTGTGGTTTGTTTTTTGTATGTAAGGTTTTATTTACCGTTGTATACATATTTTTTACATTAAAGAAAAGCAATTGAAATTTGATTCAGTACTTGAATTTAGTAGCAAAGATTTTGGATATATTTTGGCACTAAAAATAAGTATGGCACTGTTAGATTCTGTACAGGCAGTCTCAAATTACAAATGAGTTCCATTCCTAAATCTGTGTATAAATCAAATTTGCACATATGTTTGAACAGGTTCATATTTAATGTCAGTTAGTCAAATGGTTGTCTTAGAAGCTAGTATATGTTGTGCTTTTCGATGCACAAAAATCATTAACTACACTAAAGCATATTTGATATGTTGTTGTTATTGTTAAGTGCCATCGAGTTGGATCCAACTCATAGTGACCCTGTATAGGGTTTCCAAGGAGTGACTGGTGAGTTTGAACTACTGACCTTGCAGCTCAAACTATCTTTGTAGTCCAGTACTTATCTCACAGTGCCAAACCAATACTCCAGTATTAATAATAATTTTTTGATGAGTATCTAAAAATAGTGAGTGTTATCCCAAACCATTACATACACCTCAGATTTTCAATTTAATAGACTTTGCAGAGTTTGGTTCATATGTTCTTTGCTGTTGAGTGCCATGGAGTCGGTCCTGACTCATAGTGACTTTGTATAGGGTTTTCGAGGAGCAGCTGGTGGGTTTGAACTGCTGACCTTGGGTTGTATGTAAATCAAATGTTTTTAATCTGGGGATTTCCTGTATTTAATTACCTGATTTCATTATTATCTTCCTTGTTCAAATCCTATATTTCATTTTACTGCTGTTTTATGATGGGTAATATTAAGATTTTTCTGGCACTCAGCTGTTTGAGAAAGAGGCACATAAATTTTTGACAAAATGTCATGAAATCCTGTTACATAATATGCTTTCAAAATTAAGTTATAAAAACTGTTTCTTTTGTTTGTTTTACAAGTGGCAGTTCATCCTGATTCTAAATAGATTATGATCTTTAGAAAAGATTGTTATATAAATATTAAAATCATTCATCATTCTTCATTATTTTGTAGGTTTAACTCCTTTTGCAATTAGATATAAACAGAAAGGTTTTCAAAATAAGTGAGATTAAGCTGAGGGCACATTGGATTCTATAGACTTGAAACTACCTGGGTCAGTAATAGTAACACATGTCACTTCCTCCTGTGCACTCCTGCAGGACTTCCTCCTTAGGCTACTGAGGAACCTCATTGATAAACAGACGTGGACTGACGAAGGCTCTCTCTCTGAACGAATGCTGCGGAGTCAGCTCCTGTTCCTTGCCTGTGTGCGCAAGTACCAGCCATGTGTGCAGAGGGCAGATGGCTATTTTAGAAAGTGGAAGGAATCCAATGGGAATTTGAGGTCTGTCCTAACTGAATAACCAATGTGTTAATGTGGTGATTTTCTTTGTTGTTGTTGAGTCCTGTTGAGTTAGTTCTGACTCATAGTGACCTTATATAGGATTTCTGAGGCTGTAAATCTTTGTGGGAGTAGAAAGCCTAATCTTTCTTTTGTGGAGAAGCTGGTAAGCTCAAACCGGTAACCTTGAGCTTCACAGTCCAATGTTTATCCTACAGAGTCACCGCACTCCCTTGCTTAAGTGTTAGGAAAAAAACCCAAATCTATTCAAGAATTCCCTGCTGCCCCCTTTTTTTAAGAAATAAATTTCATTCTAAGATTTATCTATTTACCTCTTATTTAGAGTTCCTTAAGAAATGCCATGAGACAACTTCTGTACACGAAAGTCAAATATTAGGATAAGAATAATTATTTTTATATAGTAAGATACACAGCCTATCAAAACGAAGATGACCACAGGAAAGAAAAAGAGGGAGTCCATCTTTTCTTTCTTTTTAATAATTTTATTTTTGTTGTTGAGACTATACACAGCAGAACATACACCAATTCAACAATTTCTGCGTGTACAGTTCAGTAACATTGAGTCCATTCTTTAAGTTGTGTAGCCATTCTGCTCCTCCTTTTTTGAGCTGTTCCTCCTTCATTAACAGAAACTCACTGCCTCCTAAGGTTCCTATGTAATCATTCGAGTTGCTATGTCAGTGTGATCTCATAAAGATCTTATAACAGCACAGTGCTCAAGGAAGGCATTCTTTACTAGTTAAGCTCAAAAATCATTGGGTTTTAAGACTTCGAGGGATATTTTTAGTTTAAGATTCAAAGATGCTTTAGGACAATAGTTTCAGGAGTTCATTTAATTTCCATGGCTCCAGAAAATCTGAGGTAGTTGTTCATGAAGGTAGTTAGCCATACTTTCCATATCTTCCTTTCCTGATGCTTCTTCTTCCTCTGCTGTGCCAGACAAACAGAGACCAATTGTTGTACCTTGAATAATCACTGGTAAGCTTTTAAGACCCTAGGCACTATGAAATAATTAGGAGGTAGAATTAAAACACTAAACATGCTATTAGACCAATTAAGTAGCATGTCCCATGTTACCATGACCCCAAACTTCCAAACCTAAGAAACAAATCCCATGAACTGTTCAATTGTACATAAGCAGGCTTGTTGTTGTTAAGTGCCATCGAATCAATTCTGACCCATAGCGACCCTGTATAGGGTTTTCGAGGCACAGTTGGTGAGCTTGAACTGCTGACCGTGCAGTTCAAATGGCTTTGCAGTCTGGAGCATTAACTCACAGCGCCACACCAGGACTCTAAGGAGCCTTAGAAGCTACTATTTTTGTTGTTGTTGGTGGTATACCATAGAGTCGGTTCTGACTCATAGCGACCCTGTACAGAGTTTCCAAGGCTGTAAATCTTTACGGGAGCAGTAAGCCTCATCTTTCTCCCACGCAACTGCTGGTAGTTTCAAACTGCTGATCTTGAGGCTAGCAGTCCAACTTGTAACCACTATGCTACCAGAGCACCTTTACTTTTTTTTTGGGGGGGGGGCGTTGTTGTGAATATATTACACACTGTTCACCAGTTCAGCTTTTAAAGGCATATAGATTATTGACAGCAATCACATTAATTGGCTGAAGGCAATACATCTTGAAGTAACTTCCATGGACCATTGTTTAAGAAGCTTTGAATTTCTCTTGATAGTTACTGGAAATTTGGCAATGATTATTAATAATGGTTTCACAACATAATTAATGTAATTAGTGTCACTAAATGGTACATGAGAAAAACATGGAATTAGCCAATAAAAATTGAAATCTTTCAAGAAAGTGAGGTGGCACAGGAAGCACTCACTCATCTATGCCAAGAAATTTGGAAGACAACTATCTGGCCGACTGATTGGAAGAGATCCATATATGTGTCCATTCCAAAGAGAGGTGACCCAATGGAATGCAGAAATCATCGGACAATATCTTTGATATCCCATGTGAGTTCAGTTTTACTAAAAGTAATACAGAAACGACTACAAGCATACACTGACAGAGAACTTCCAGAGGGTCAAGCTGGATTCAGAAGAGGCCGTGGAACAAGGGATATCATTGCTGATATCCGAAGGATGTTGGCTGAAAGTAGAGAATATCAGAAAGATGTTTACCTGTGCTTTATTGACTACGCAAAGGCTTTCTATTGTGTGGATCATGATAAGATATGGACAACATTGTTAAGTATGAGTATTCAGGAACACTTAATTATGCTCATGAGGAATCTGTACATGGACCAATAGGCAATTGTTTGAACAGAACATGGGAACACTAAATGGTTTAAAATTAAGAAAGGTGTGTGACAGGGTTGTATTCCTTCACCATATGTATTCAACCTGTATGTTGAGCAAATAATCCGAGAAGCTGGGTTATATGAAGAAAAACGTGGCATCAGGATTGGAGGAAGACTCATTAACAACCTGCAATATGCAGATGATACA